AAAAGCATTTTTTCTTTACTTTTTTTTTTCTTTTCATAAATAGTTCAGGAAAAGACATAAGATTCAAGTATAATTCAAAATACATTGACTTGAAAACTTTGACATTCTATTTCTTAATTTTCAATGTGAAAATTATCCCTTTCTATGATAAGTAGATGGTAAGTCACATAATAAGCAGTAATGGGCAGAAAAGAAACAATTTATAGCCTAAATAATATAATTTCCCTTTATTTTTCACAATTAAAATAATGTCTTAAATAAAACATTTAATTAATGAAATATGACCCAGAAACAGTAGACTTGTCTCATGAGGAAGTTTTCTCAAAGCTTTATCTTTTTATATTTTTCTTTTAGATTATTCAAGAACATTTTTCACATATTTAGAAATTCTATAAAATTATGTGTTTTATTTCAAACCACTAAGGAAAACAAATTTACGATAAAAGACTTTAGTTTGTCTAACTAATTTTTCATCCTTTGTATTTCTACATAGTTCCTCCCATTCACACCTTTAGTAAACACTTGTCTATTGAGCGTTTCCGGTATCTGAAACACAGTTGTAGAAGCTTTTTAAGATGTAATAATTTATAATAATAATAATAATAATCTGACTTTCCAGGAGCCTACAGTATCTTGGGAGTCATAAACTCTAAATTACCTTAAAATAATCTAAATCCACTGCCATCAAGTCAGTTCCAACTCATGGCAACCTCATTGGGTTTCCAAGGCTTTAAATCTTTACGGAAGTAGATTGCCCCATCTTCATCCCATGGAGCAGCTGGTAGATTTGAACCACCAACCTTCTGGTTAGCAGTCAAATGCCTTACCCACTACACCACCAGATTTCCTTAATATAATCTAAAAAGAAAAATGATTTTGTTTACAAAAAAAAAGAATGTGGATGCATGTTTGCATTCTTTGTAGCTTGGTAAGCAGAGAAAGTCTGACTTAGTAGAAACTTAAGAGGGAATTTGAATGATGGCTAGAAATCAGATATTTACCACAGTGAAAGGGTGACTTGGTAGTGCAAATGGTTATGAGCTCCACTACTGGCCTATAGGTTGGTGATTCAAACTCACCCAGAGCCACCTCAGAAGACAGAGTCAATGATCTGCTTCTGAGGGGTCACATTTCTGCTTGCACATATTGAGCCACTATAGAGGATAAGTGATTTTCTAAGTTGACAATTGTAAATTTCATCAGATAAGCATATTGATCAAAATGTATGATGGGTTTTTCATAAAGTTACTTTATCAAAACATTGCTACTATTCATCACCTACTTATCAAGCCAGCTTGACCATGTTTACAATTCTTAGGCCAGACACTGTTTATTGTACCTGTTACCCTCCTTTAGCTTTTCAAAACATAACCTCAGTTTTATGTGGATACAATATAACCAGTCCAGGGAAAAGTCAAAATGAAATGCCTACCTCTAGACTAATTGGCTAAGGGAATAGCTTAAATAACATAATTTTTCCTTGTCATAAAGTCTGGAAATGAACATACTACGAGCTATAAAGCTGTTAAGGCTCTAGTGACTTTTCCATTCTTGGTCCAAAAACCAAAACCAAACTCAGTGCCACAGAATCTATTCCAACCTTGGGTTTCCTAGGTAGTATCTCTACAGAAGTAGATTGCTCAGTCTTCCCTTTAAGGAGTGGCTGGTGGATTTGAACCGCCAGCCTCTGGTTATCAGTCAAATGCCTTGGGTACTTCACCACCTGAACTCCCAGGTCCAAGGTTACTTCATCACCTATATAGTTACTTCAGCTCTATCCATTTTATAAACTTCCCAGAAAAGCATACATTAATCGACGGCACATAACAACAACAACAACAACAGGTTCAAAGAACTAAAATTATATCTTTTTTTCTTTCTGAGAATCTGTATGACCAGGCTCCCAGTAAACTTGTTAAGTGATACAAATGGTTTGCTTTCAACTCCTAACTTAAAGTTTGGTGATTCAAATCTACCCAGCAGTACCACAGGAACAAATAAAAAAGGTCTGACTATTTGATTCTGTAAAAATTACAGCCCAGAAAATGCAGTAGAGTAGTTGGGTCACCATGAGTCAGAATCAACTTAGTGACAACTCCATGGGACAAAGAACTCGATTTAGCCTTTGTCTCTGGAATTCTTGAGCAATAAAAGTTCTCTTTCTTTTCTAAAAAAGCAAACAAAACTTAAACCTGTACACATGACTTGGGACTCCCCAGTCATTACATGGCAACTAACCTGAGGAAAGGAAGGGGACATAGAATTAAGCAACCTACTTAATATCACAAATTACATAAATGTGATTACATTCTTTATTAACTAAACACCTTCTTATCTGCTGGTTATTCAGTAGTATAGCTAAGCCCTTTTCTCACCCACAAATAAATAATGTCCTAAAATGCATATAATTTGAGATTTTTGTAGTTGTTGATATTGTTGTTTTTAATCACAATAAATTGATGATATTTACAAATGGTAGTTTTGGTGGCATATTAATCTTTGCCAGAGTTACCTAACCAGTGTGCCATGATATATTGTGACCATAGAAGAGTAACCATAGAAGGGTTTAGGTGAACTCTTGGTGCTTTTAGGTGTATTATTGATATTTGTAAATTTTAAGTATTAAAATATTTAAAATAAAAATTTAAACTATTCACAGTTTATATGTTATTTACCTTATTTGTATATTGTTGCTGTTGTTGTTTCTCATTGAGTCAGTCCCAATGCACAGTGACCGCTCCTTGGGTTTCCGAGGCAGTATCACTACTGAAGTAGATTTCCCAACCTTCCTTCCAAGGAGTGGCTGGTGGGTTTGAACTGCCAGCCTTCTGGTTAGCAGTCAAATCCCTTAGGCACTATACCACTATGTATATTACCCAATTCCAAAACTGCTTCCACATTTTAGTTATCTGTTAGAGCAGTATCCCACTTTTCTGGTACCATATTCTTAGTTACCTAGTGATGCTGTAACAGAAATAGCACAAGTGGTGACTTTAGCAAACAGAAATATATTTTCTCACTGTTAGGAGGCTAGAAGTCCAAATTCTGGGTGCTGTTTCTAGAGGAAGGCTTTAACTCTGTCTGCTCTGGAGGAAGGTCCTTGTTTGTTATGGGCTTCTGTTCCTTGTCAATCTTCATGTGGCTTGACATCTCTCTTCTCCCATCTCTGCTTCTTTTGTTTGCTTGTTTAATCTCTTTTATATTGCAAAAAAAGTTGATTTAAGACACGCCCTACTTTAATTATGTTCATTAACATGGAAACGACAACTCATTCTCAAAAGGGATGATAACTACAGGCATAGAAATTAGGTTTTATAACACATGTTTTTTAGGGGACACAATTCAATACTTATTTACTTGTATGCATAAAATAGCAGATCTTATGTTAAATATAAGGCATTTGACTACAACTTAATATTCCAATCCACTACTTTATCATTTATTAAATTGTAGCCATGTATTCAAATTGAATAGCTACTCCTGGGAAGGAAGATTGGCAATAAATTTCCATAGTGATACCACCTCGCAAACCCAAGCAGGGATCACTGTGAGTGGGATCCGAGTCAACAGCAGTGCATTTGGTTTTGGCTTAGTTTAATACGTGAGAAGCAGATTTCCTTACTGTAAATAATATGCACTGATTTCACTTTAGTTAAATATTCACTGACTAATTATACATGAGCTTCATAAAGGCAAGATTTTTATTCAAAAATGTGTCCTTGGTGATTGGAATAATTTCTGAAAAACAATAAAATGAATGACCAGTAGTTGAATGAATTAATGAACTGCCATTTTACTTTCATGTCAGTGTTCAGAAATAATTTTCCATGATTCTCTCATGTTTGTCCATGACTTGGGAACAAGGTACTAGCTGGCTTCTGTTCTGGACTGGTTTTAAAAGGATGCTTTTATAATGGACAGCCTATGGAGACAGATAGTAACTCCCTCAAATAAAAGGCAAACATGTTTGAAGACATGCAGATCATATATCTCTCCAGTGTAATGGGTGTATGTATTTACTGCTCATTTCAAAATAAGTTCCTTTCCTGTAGCACAACCCAATGAATGTCCAATTTTCAAGTGGCCCTCTTTGTGTCACCTGTGGGAATTGGGATTTGGGACATCAGTGGGAAATGCCAGTACTCTGACTATTGTAATACACAACCAAGGAATCTTAATTTTTCTATCAATATGAATAAATTAGTGTCAGGCTAACTTGTCTATTAGCTTGAAAGCAGTATAAAATCCTAGATCTCTCAGAGTTCTTGACAATCAGAAATGAATTTTGAACTTCATGAGAGGGAAGAGAAAACCACTAGAATATCTCTACAGATAAAGGATATAATAAAATCATACACTTTTTAAATAAATATCAACTCTTCAACATTAAATAAACTTCATTTACGATGAAGGAAATTTATTGGAAAAATAGAGCATACAAGTTGTACACATCCTGTCATTGAAGATTTATAGGTAATTTTATTTATTTTAATTGCTTGTGTTTAGTAATTGCAGTTTAAGAATATTTAATATTAAAGAAAGTGTCATATTTCCTAAACTTTAGAAAATATTTATTTTATGAAAATATATGAGAAGACACAAAACAGAGACCACCACCTGGAATTCAAATAGGTACCACTGCATTTCTTAATAAATGTATCACAAAGTACTTTAAAAGTGTAGAAATACTTTGTTTGAACAGCAGAGATGCAATATGTATCATTCTGATTTTCAGAATTTTCCTGTTCTCATAATGATATGTGTTTGAGGTATTAAAAAAATTCATTTTCTTTTATAAGCTGTCTAGGTCATACTATTGATATTTTGGTTCTAAATTTTGTTTTCACTTTAATGGAATTAATTAATAGTTTATATTTTCTTCCTCACTGCAATTGTTTCTTCACAACAAGGGCCTGTACTGAGTGATATCTGAATTTTTACTGTTTAAGCATCTCACTGTGAAATGAATGCATTCAATTATCATTTCTGCAATATTTTAGGTGTAACCGTACTTGAAGGCCCTATTTATGCTGTGGGAGGCCATGACGGTTGGAGCTATCTGAATACAGTGGAGAGATGGGATCCTCAGAGTCAGCAATGGACATTTGTAGCCAGTATGTCAATTGCCCGAAGTACAGTTGGTGTAGCAGCATTAAATGGCAAGTGAGTAGGTTTTTTTTTAATTTTTTTTTAAATCTGAACAAAAATCTGAGTGAATGAATATTGCTGAGAGTTTTGATCAGGAATGGGTGTTGGATTTTATCAAATGCCTTTTCTGCATCAATTGATATGATCATGTGGTTCTTTTCCTTTGTTGTACTTATGTGGTGGATGATGTTGAATATAAACTGATTTATTCTTACCAATATAAAAACTTAAGTCACCCATTTACCTCCATCCACTGCCATATCTTGCCCTGCATCAGTCAGACATCTCAAAATGGTGCTCCAAATTCCATCTCCACTTCAAAAACCATCACTCCTCAACTCCACTAAAATGTCCTGGGTCAACAAAGAGTGCACTGCTAAACTGTACAGCAAAATGGGATGACCAAAGAAATCAGCCATTTATATTGATATGATATATTCATTCATAGGGAAGACAATATAATGACAATTATGTAGTAAGTACTACCAAAACCAAATCACATTCTGCCATCATGTCAAATCCGACTCATAGTGACCCCTCTGAGTTCCCAAGGTTGTATCTCTACAGAAGTAGATTGCCCGGTCTTCCTTCCAAGGAGTCGCTGGTGGGTTTGAACTGCTAGCCTTCTGATTAGCAGTCAAATGCCTTAGGACTGTTCTGGTTACCTAGTGCCACTCTGACAAGAATATACCACCAATAGGATGGCTTGAACAAACGTGTTTATTCTCTTACAGTTTGGAGGCTTTAATCTGAGTTCAAAGTGCCAGGCTCTAGGGGATGGGGGAAAACCCCTCAACCTTGGGCTTAGCTCTGACTCCTGCTCCTGGCCCAAAGGAGCTAGAGGCTTTTCTTCACTCAGACAGCTGCTGGCTGCTAAGACTGACAACCCCAAGGTTGACAAGTAAAAACGCACAGTCCCGATGTTACCAAACCACACACACCAGGCCATTAATTCAAGTCCATTGAAAGTCCTAAGGTCAGCAGTGCATGGCAGGCTGCTGAGCAATGACACGGCCACATGCAGGGTTCAAGCGTCATAAGCTAGAGACCATTCCCAAAGCTGTTTCTTATATATGGGAAGCAGACCACATACCCAAAGCAGCTACTCAGCTGCTCCAATAGATTCCACCATAGAGTTAATTACTAATCTCACCATGGAGAATAACTACATTCAGTTGCCAGCCATTCAACAGCAGCCCAGCCAAGCTGACAAACTCAGCCACCACAGACCATTAAGAGCTCCCATTAAGTACTACAGATCAAAGCATATAAAGCAAGTGTCATATCCATCCCAAATTACAAAGAAAACTAGTGTTAACTTCTCCCAGTTTTTCATTAAATGTCTGTGAAGACACAGACAATAATCAGGAACTCGAAGAACTGAAAACATAAAAAGGCAGCCTAGTGAGGAGGATGTGACAGTGATTGTAAGACAGATAAAAACTGGGGTAAATAATAACCTAGCTGTTTTCAATATATGCCAGATTTGTCTCAGTAGAAAGATCTAAAACAAGTGACATTTTGTACCTTCCATATCACATTGCTGCTATAGTGCTTCAGTAGAAATATAATGCAAGTTACATATATAATTTATAATATATAAATCACACGCTGCCATCCATTTCCAAATTTTTTCATCACCCTTAACAAAAACTCTGTACCTTTTAAGTAATACCCTCATGTCCCTCATGCCCCCACCCGTGGTAACCACTAATACATTTTGGTTTCTATGCATTTGCCTGTTCTGGATATTTCATATAAGTGGGAACATGCAGTATTTGACCTTTTGTGTCTGCCTTATTTCACTTAGCATAATGTTTTCAGGGTTTATCCATTTATAATTATAAATATTATAAATTATATATAAATGGCAGAAAAAGGGTGATGAAGAAATTTGGAAATTCTGCAGTA